CTACGATTTCGTGTAATGGTTAACAAGACCAATTACGACTAAGCAGTGAGTTTGATCTTCACTGAGTTCTCCTAAATATAGGACTTATGCCACAATGGAAGTTATGGCTAACAAATTACTATGCATAAGTTCAAAATATATATACACTCATATATATATTATTAAATGGACTAATGCCGACAATTATTTTAATATATTTTCTGTTCATTCGTTAATTTTTTGTGATACAAATATGTGCATCTATAGAAAATAATGTATAAACAGAATATATATATATATATATATATTTTTTTTTTTTTTTTTTTTGTGTGTGTGTGTGTGTGTGTGTGTATCTAATTATGTCTGGGTGCTTATGTATTATAATCTGATTGTGTTTTTGTTGTTTTACGCGTGAGTTTAAGACCACATTCACAAACTTTAAATAAAAACGGAAAAGAAAGGGGAAAAGAAAAAAAAATATATACATGTATTGTCAAATGTCGGGATGTATTGTAGCGTCTTGTCGAACGTAATTTCAATGAATTGAATAAACATATATTTTTTCTTTTCTCAATAATTTTGTAGTTTTTAAACTTAATAGTGATTAAATTTGGATTTTAAAATTGCCAGTTTTAATTTTAATATTAAATTTTATCATATAATTTTATAATTATTAGTTAGTATAAATTATTTTTTAATATTACACGTATTTAAAAATCTGAATAGCTATTATAGCATGATTTCGTTGTCAAGCTTTTGAATCTTTCTATACTTCGTTTTTTGATTGGTTATTCTAGCTTTTGTAACAATGTTTCCCCCCTAGTGTAGGATCGTTAATTAATCTGAAACTTTTAAAACCATCTATTTTCTTTTCAACATCATCACTTGATAAGACACAGAGTGTGTTGAAACAAAATGCCTATTTTTTGTAGTGATTTTATAACATACTTATGTTATAATTTTTTATAAAAAAATTAATATATATATATATATATATATATATATATATATTCTATTTATGCATTATTTTCTATAGAAATATATGAACAGGCTGACATATACACACACACACACACACATATATATATATATATATATATATATATATATATATATATATTCTGTTTATACATTATTTTCTATAGGAAATAGATAGATATGAACAGGCTGGCATATATATATATATATATATATATATATATATATATATATATATATATATATAATAAAAGGCTTAAACACTAATATTCCATGGTCATAACTTATTCCATTGGAATCGTAAATACGATCCAATTCATCAGACCTACAAATTCAAAAGAAAACAGAAAAAAACAACTCCGAAATAAAAACAGAATTTAGAGAAATGTAAGTATGAAGAGGAGGGAGATTAAACCTTTACATATGTATGTATATTTACCACTAATATATATATATATATATATATATATATATATATATATAGATAGATAGATACACCTAGTGACAAACCTAGGTAGGTTTGTCTGGCTCACTAAATGTATCTAGGTCTGCTCTACGGTTGTATTGAGCTATTTTGTTAGTTAGTTGTTTACTCGTATCAGGGGTTTTTCTTTGGGCTTCAGACCTGCATCTGTGGGATTTTTGTCGGCAAGTTTATGTTTGTAGCTCTTTCTTTTTTAAAACCTTTTTTCCCTCGGAATTGATTTGATTAACAAATCAAAAATTCGAGGGTTTTTCGAAAACAAAGTCTAGTTATATATATATATATATATATATATATATATATATATATATATATATATATATATATATATATATATATATATATATATATATATATATATTCTGTTTATACATTATTTTCTATAGATGCAAATAAATAAACAAAAGAAGGAGGCAGGATGGAGTAATGGATAACGGCTGGGATTCAGGGATCCGAGTTCAAATCCATTACATTCGCTTACGTTTTAATACGTTTGGGATAGGTGCAAATCCTCTTCTCCTCACAACTTGTTGTGAATTTTAGTAAATATATATTCTTTTTTTTATTATTTTGGGGTGAATTACTATTTTGGCTTGAATTTACAGAAAAAAAAACAAACCTATGTCTACTTTTTGAACGTCGTTCAAAATGAACATATATCTATATGTTTTACAGATGAACAGATATATACCTTCTTTGACTCGCTTGGAAATCACGACTATGCCTACTTTATCACTTTCGTTCAAACCGGACTTGTTTACCTTTTGTGATTCGCGTAGAAACTGAACCGATGTCTATCCATTTATTGTTTATCAAAACGACAGAATACGGCATTAAATAAACTAAAAAAAAAAAAAAATGACATGCCCTTAAACAAAACAAACCTAACCAATTATAAAATCTTATAGATTTATTATTTCCTCGGGTCGGTTGGAATAAAAATGGAAATAATATGAACAAAATTGCCAGCAACACTTGCGTCTTCATCGATTATTGATTACTTCCAAGCAAGGTTTCTTTTTTGGCTAAAATACACCAAACAGTTTGTGCCAAACGATAGAAACAGTTCGGCCTCATTGTTATTGTGTTATCCGATAAACAAAAATAAACCATAATTTTTGCTTGCCTTCCCAGAAAATTAACAATAGAACGTTCTACTTTTATTTTTCTTAATTTAATCTAATCTTTACCTCAGTACATCACCCCAATACATATAACTATTTAGGAAAGACACGTACACACACTCTCAGTTCACACACACACACACACACACACACACACACACACATGTACACACACACACACACACACATGTACACACACACACACACATGTACACACACACACACACACACACACATATATATATATATCGCTACTAAGAAATATGTATTACTGTGTCGAGCGAGACAATTTTTCTCTTCAGAATATCTGTCTTGCATATCTATAAGTCTACGATTCGTCCATGCTTAGAATACTGCTTCCACATACGCTTAGGTACCCTTGCTATTTACCTTGATAAAATCAAAAGGAGAATCAGCAATATTATTGGTCCTGATCTGGGGACTCGGCTTCAATCCCTTTTCCCCCCGCCGAAATGTTGCCTCTCAATGTCTTTCCTATAAAAACTTTCATCGTAATTGTTCAGATAACCTCTTCGCTATGGTACCTAGACATTTTGAATTTAATCAAAGTACTAAATTGTGTTGAGATTGTAGAGGACCGGGGTGGAGGTGGAGATGAAAAGAAAACAAACAAGACCGATATATATATATTAAAGACATTTTTATGTTTAACGTTCTTTTTATAGATACAAGTATTTAAGTAAATGCTCTGTTTTTATTATAAACAGTATTAAATAACATTTACCGGCCTGAATGTCCGGGAAATTCTCATAGAAAATATTCGTCCATTGCCAGGATTCGAACCTGCATCCTATACGGAACTGTCATTTACGCTGACGTGCCTAACCTCTCGGCCACAAAGGATCGTTCGGTTTCACGAGTTTCACGATGCTAGACATCATCATATATATATATATATATATATATATATATATATATATATATATATATATATATATATATATATATATATATATATATATAATAAATTTTTTTATTATCAAAGATAAGTATCAAGATGAACTGCTGAATCTTCGTAATGAGATATTTTCTAAATATAGACATAAGAAACGATTCAAAACATAAACACCCTTTTGTAACATGTCACTTATGTCAGTTCCATCTTGGTTCCATAACATCAGGCATGACATTGTAATGGAATGACTATATATATATATATATATATATATATATATATATATATATATATATATATATATATACAACTGAATGACAAAGTGGAAAAATTGTCTTTAACATGTTTCGACATCTACAAGGAAAGAACTTCATCAGACTAAATTAAAAATTCTATCAATCTTTTTAAAGTTTATAATTAACGTCTATTATAATTATGCAACGAGAAAAATCGCTGATGATGTGATTTCTTTATTTAAATTTTTGAGTTTTAATTTTATCATTTTTTTAAAGACGTCTCCAGAGACAATCTGAATAATTTTCCCTACGCTTCTTTTTTTTTTTTTTTTTTTTGTTATCTTTGGTGTTTTTATGTCTGCCACATTGTGCTAACAGAAGATCTGCAAGAAAGATGAAACCTTGTAAGAAACTGGACGAAAATTTACCGTAGGTAATTTACCAATCAGTGCACTTCCTATAACTTTTCACCTTAGTAAACTGATTTCCCTTTTAATTAAAGTAGCATTTCCAAAATTATGGTCAGACTGATTAAAGCTACCAATGCATTGCTTGTAAAATATCTCTTTTGTGTTCATATGATTATTTTATTTAAATTCCTCGAGGTTTCTCCTATGCATACTTGTGGCAGTCGTTACATGCTATACGGTAAAATCCTGTTCCAGGTTTTCGGTTGTTGTAATCTTATCTTACATTAATTGAGTCTCTTGTTGCGTTAGAATTAGTCATAAATTTACGGTCATATCCCATGGAAATACCGATTCTCGTACGATGATCGAAGTTTCGCAGCATTCAGCCTGTTCAGTACCTCGATAACAAATTCACTCCTGAGAATAATTTTAGAGATGATTGGAAGTACTTTGGTAGGAAAAAACGACGATGCCTGATTACAGAACTGAAAAGGATCATTACAAAAATAAATAGACATAATACATGCATATTATTCAATAAAACATGTCTGAATGAAGATATGCTGCCTATATATATATATATATATATAATTATTTATTTAAAAATATGATTCCAAATCGCTACATAAGAGGTCTCATTTTTCAAAACTAGAGCCGAAAACTTCAATATAATCCTTTAAATTAAATTGAATTGAAAGTAAAATGGGCTCCTTTCCATCCTCAAGCGAAATTTTATATATATATATGTATGTATGTATGTATGTATGTATTAACTGATATGCTGCCTATATATATATATATATATATATATATATATATATATATATATATATATATATATATATTAACTGATTTAAAAATTCAAAAGATCGC